CATGCCCCTCATTATATGCGACAGTTTGTGGTGTTGCACACAGTCAAATGCCTTGCTGTAGTCTAGGAAACAGGTATCTAGCCCTGAAAAGAACTATCAGTTGTGTGCCTGGGGCGGCTTTGAAACAGGTATGGGTGGGTCTCCTGTGGGTCAGGTGCTGACGTTTTCTGCATGGTTTGTTTCGGTTAGCTACTATAGCATATTGTACCAACAGAGTACCAGTTTGCCTGTAAATATACACATAGCATGATATCTAGGTGTAACAACTACAGTGCAACACAACACAAAGTATCCCTAGATGAACTTAATTATTACGTTACTTAGTGCTTTTATTACGTGGCATTGGAAGTAGACTGAGATAACAGAGTCAGTATGAGTCTGTTTTTAGGAAACATACAACAGGATACTTTCTGTTAAATTTTATTTCGCCTTAGTATCACAAACCACAGATGTCGCTTTCAGGCCATGTGCAGAAGATCCGTGTGCTAGTAATGTATTTTGCTGTACGGTTTTATTGAAAGGTACACTTGATTAGGTTGTATGGCAACTGTTGTCGATGTGGACTCTGGTTTTACCGAATCCTGATCTAATAATTTACAGAGTTTTGAAGTGTGTGTGTGTGAGAAACAACTTAGGATGCAACAAGTCTCTTACTTAGGGGTACTGGTATTGTAGGTGCTGCTGGTGGTGTGGACGAACCGGGTGCACCTAGTGTTGTTGTGGTTGATCCTGTCCTTCGTGTAGCATTTGTTCCAGATAGGTTTACTTGATCAGCCATTATGTCAGTGTTCGAGTTAAAGATTCGATCACATCGATCACACATACATCTAGAAAAACCATGTCATCTTCTTCTGTACGAAGTGTTGAGTCCTTGCAAAGTTCTCTACAAAATCCAGAAAATTATATTATTTCAATTTAGACATGGTTTGAATAAGGATTGAAAGAACAAGGACAACATTATACAGCTAAAAAGATAGGTCTATGTAAAAAAAAAAAAAAAAGCCTTAAACATAACACAATGGACACCAGCTGCTTTTGCTGATTGACAAGATGTGTCAGATCATTTGTGCTTAAAAAGATGTCTTTGTAAAAATGAACATTTAAATTTAAAAAAAAAAAAAAGCCTCAAACATAACACACTGGACACAAGCTGCTTTTGCTGTTTGACAAGATTTATCAGATCATTTGGCTTACCTGTTGTTTCCGTGAGTGAACTATGCCCTGTGATTATGTGATTGCTATGGAATACAGACAACATCCAATAATATAGCAAGACAATGTTAATTTAAGTCTGTAATATTGCACACTAAGGAAACAATACAGACACCATATTAATTACACAATTTAAGTAAGATTGTCTAATTATTCATAGTACAATTTCTATCATAATCACATCCCAAATCAAACAAAACGTGAAACCATACAAATTACATTTTAGGTATAGAAATAAGTACGAGATACATAAATTTAAAATAACAAATATATACTCTGAGATCTATAAAACTACTACACGTAGCCATAGTGAGTTCGAACACATAAAATTACCTCTATACACTCAAATTATAGTCCCGAAGGTTGAACTTGACGACTTTTCTCTTGGTGGTGTTTCTCATACTGGATGACATTGCTCTGTATGCGAGTGAAAGCTATGTCCTCCAATTCCCTATGTGTCAGTTTATCTTTAATCATCTTGTGGAGGTGGGCTTTATTATACATCTCCCGGTTCTCGCTCATACAATCATGGCCTGATAGGTCAGCCTATTTCTGAACGCAGCCCTGACAAAAGGAACCGTCTTTATATATACTGTCTGCCAATGTTTTGATGATTTTCTGAATGTTTGGTGCGTGCGTCTCTTGACCAGCATAGAACTCCCGGACGTAACGTTCTATTCTGGTGAGTGTGATCTCTACGAGTTCTGAATGTAAAACATGCTCCTTATCACAGATAACAAATGTTTTTGCAAATTGTTTTCGAAAGTATTAGTTAAACAAATATGGGCTTACGTATCTCGACAGTCAGTGACACTCCAGCTGGTTGGCCTTGAGCTGAGTCTAGATGTTCTTTATAGTCTGTAGAGTCATGTTTGTAAAACAATTGAAGCCATAAAATATGATGTAGTCGGCCAAATATTATATTAGGACAGTCACGGATACCCCAATTACATATACCTTACCACCCAATTTTGTGTCTCTTCTTACGTTACAATGTCCACACACACACACACACACACACACTCACACACACACAAAATACTAGCAATAATACCATACATATAACATAAGAATTATTTTGTCTTTAGTCTACAACAAACAGTTCAGCTTCAGAGCCACCTCTCTGTTCCTCTTATAGTCCGCTAATAATTCCACTGGCCCGCCAAAGACAATAGCTGTACTGTTGTATTAGACCAAATAAAACCCGATGAACATACCACCTTTGTTTCTTTACTTTGTTTAGTATGAAGGTGTAAGTATGTGTGTGTGTGTGTGTGTGTGTGTGTGTGTGTGTGTGTGTGTGTGTGAGCGTGTCCACAACTATGCAGATTCACCCTGGCGTCGACAGTCGACAGTCCAACTTGAGGGAGAAATGAACAGAAAACAATCTGGGGAAAAAAGGCAGAATTTAACAAGGGACACAGTTTACACCAGTCTTACTAATTTAAATCCTGCGTCTGGTCCAGATGCTCTGGTTTAACTGGTAATGGTGGCAGGTAGAACAGCAGCGGTCCATATGGGAAGTCTGAAGGCAAAACAAGCAGACATGAGAACTGAAACTTGCTATCAGGTACAAGTCAACGAGTACAGCATAAAAGATATTACATTCTACAAGCCAAGTGTGGGGAAAATAGAGATTATTTCCACTGGAAAACGGTGGCAGGGGACAGCCAGACATTATCTAGAACTCCTGACGCAACTTGATAACCCTAACGGTAACAATCAATTACAAGGTGTCCAAACGGTAATCAAATGACGAAGGCCATGTACATAGTGTAACACTTATGTATTACGAACACTATGATCCGAATGAAAATGTGCAATAACGTAATCAGTGGATAAGACTCACCCAAAATACTCCGAGCACTCGCTAGTGCACTCACACTCGTCTTGAAACATTAGAATCCATATTCTATATCGGATTCTAATCAACTCCCTACGGATCAACAATACGACCTTGAGAGTCTAAACGGTTATTTTAACCTATTCATCTGCAGTCTGATACTTGAGAACAGAGCAATGTCCGTCCTTCTTGATTCTGCCAGCTCTTTCGCTGAGTGATCCAATAGCTTAAAATACTCCTGCTTTCTGCAGAACGCAATAATGCACGTTTTAGACTGAGATTTCGCCGTGGAAAATAATTGAGAATTGATTAAATAGTCGTGTCGACTTCAAGTGCGGAGTGCATGAGCGGTGAGAAACCAACAGCCTGCATACAGATAAATCGGCTCGCCTCTGTAAAACAGCTGTATACACAAAATAATTAAGAATCGACTGATTAGTGGTGATGTGGTGATGACTTCAAAGGCGGAGTGCACAAGCGGTGGGAAACGAACAACTGACTTTCTACCCCACTAGGACATCACACAAGCGATAAACACCCGATGACACAAAGGGCCACCATGTGGATGAGGATCGCCTTGGAGAGGTCCCAGAAACCGCGTTCAGACAATTGGCCATATTTATGGCCTGCCTGTATTGCGGCCCCTGACAAAAGCCAGGGTGGGGCTTCAAATAAAAAAAAAATGTCGCCCTAAAAAGGACGAAACTGGGCAATTAAAAACAAACAATGAAATAATAGTTTTTAAAATATATATAACTTTACCTGCCGTAATGTAAAGAAATTTAGCATTTTCAATTTTTCTGTAGCAGTTTCAAACAAGAGGGCTTCTGGATTCACAAAAACTGGTAGGGGGGGGGGGGGGGACCCCACGACTAGTCACTGGCTGCGATCTGTGGAATAACTAACGGTTACTTTAGCCTATCTTTGTATTTAAAAAAAAAGTTATCTTAATGTTCACACCTGTTCGGTTTCCTGTCTTATCTTTCGCAGTCACAAATATACCTTAGGGTGTGGAACAACTGACACGAAGGTCAGCTTGCTGACAACCATCTTATCAACTATTGACTGATCTACCTACACCGCGGGTTTGCCAGATCAAAGACTGCTCCTTTACTTAAAAGAAACATGGCTTGACCGTACGAAGCCCAGTCCTCTTGTCGATTTCCAACTGCCAAGGGATTTTTTTTTATGTGCGCAACAATCAAGAAGCAGTTAAAGAGGAAGTGAAGAATAAGACTGACAGTAATGGACCAACGTCTATTACTAGTCTTCTTCATCTTCGCGTTCACCAGCTATAAACTTTGGCGGAGAGTTCTGGTTGTTCATCCAATTTTGTATTGCAGTCCTGTTCCAGAACCTGAGTGTTTCGGGTGCATCCGTTTTACAGATCTGACTCATTTGTATGCAGACTGCTGGTTCCTTGCCTCTCAGGCAGATGCACTCCGGCTTTGAAGGAAGCTCCCAATTAGTCGACTCTTACGACATGCTTTTGGGTAGGCAGTGGGTCTATTCTTGTTTTTCCTATAACAGGGCTCCGGAACCTACACGGAAAAATTACTACGGTGATAAGAGTAGGTCGGCTCTGTGGCTGTCGATGCGAACGCTTCGTAATGACATGATGCCGGGCTCGATCCCAGCTGCGGGCCATGCGCCTTGCGTTGGTTTCGACAGTGGTATCAAGAAAGCCGACCGTCCAGATGCAATGACAAACTACTGGACGTAAATTTGCCTAGAAAAACCACACAGTGGGTTTGGTTCTGCAACGTCCTGTAAAGTATACGCAACTAACCTAAGATAAAAGTAGGCCTTGGATGGACAAAATGTCACTTGCGCCACCCGGCACGGCACAGGAGATGACTTGTGTGTTAAAAATAAGCAACACTTCCGGCCCGGTAGACATTTTCATGTTTTCTGTTTATGTTGGTTTTACGTGGATTTGTGTGCGATGGAGACTGATCCAACCATAGTTGAGTACACCGCGGGCCATGAGCGCTACAGATGTGGATACTGCGGGTCCAAGGACACAAACTACTCGCATGGTACTTATTATAACCACAGTATTGTTTAATTGTAAACACATATTTATGACTTTAAAACTCGAATGAGTATTTAGTATATCTGTCTGTCAGTGAGTCGGTGACTCATTCATTCAGTGAAAGTGAATGATTCACTTTCACTGTTTTAGTGTTGTTTACTATTTATTTACATAATTATGTAGTCTAGACTCAAGACAGAAACATCTAGATTTTGATATGGGCACAAAACAACTCGGTACTGTACTGTGATACAATTTTCTTTCAGTTGTGTTTGAAATATTTTGTTTAAGGTTAGAGACTGCAACCTGAAAGTGAAAGTGAGAGATTGACTTTGACACCCAGTGGTGACGCAGGGAGCCACTTATCGGGTGCAAGTCCATCATCAGAAAATCCAGGAAACCCTACATTTGTGTAACCAGTTAGATTACAGTTTATATAAAACAATGACATGATGCTGACCACATCACCTGCGGACTGATGGTCTATAAAATATAGGGCTCTCCTAACTTCGTTTCCTTATTTATTATGGTGGCCAGACAAATACCCTAACAGGGCCTCAGTCATGTGTAAAATGCGGAGTGCCTGCCAAAGAATGAATCGCAGCAAAACTAGGATTGCCTCGGAATAACGGGTCAATATTTTTTAGGGCAAACAAATACTCTAACAGGGTCTCAGCGATATGTTGATTGCGGACCTTTTTCTGGCGACTGTACTGTACCGCTGACAGTATCCCTCTCACCGCTAAGCATGGCGTGGATGGGGGGCTAAACTAGATGGCTGGGACTCACGAGAAAATAAATTGGAGGAAGTTGCAGGAGATGCAGTAACTGCTGCTTGTGAGTCCCAGCCATCTAGTTTAGGCCCCCATCCACGCATAGCGGCGCGGGAGATATGCTCGGCACTAAGGTTAATCAGAAGAACACTTTCGCTAACCTGCGTCGGAGCGCATTGTCTCCCCGCCATGTCGCTATTATCGTGTGTATTGTTGCGTTTCTCGAAATTGTCAGCGAACAGTAATCCTAGTTTTGCCAAGATGTGTCCGACGGAGGAGGTCCGCATTTTACACATAACTGAGGCCCTGTTAGGGTATTTGTTTGGCCGCCATAATATGGGGACGAAGTTTGGAGGAGAGCCTATATGCACGACATGTGTACCAAGACGCTAGATACTGGATGTTGCTTACATTCTTAATTACCTTTATTTACAAAAACAACAATATTACTGCATACACTTTAGGAGATGTCCAGTACTGCGGTGCATGTACATAGATATCAGGGTAGATAGTTCGGTTTTAACAACTACTTTTCATTGATAATTCTACCAGATCGCTGATTTCTACAAAACAGTAGTACTACGTATAGCACTATTCGCAAGTTACAACAGCTACTGCAGTCACTATGGCTGGCTGGACCTAGGAAATCCACAAAACATTATAACTCACATAAAGAAAGTCACCAGAAGGTGGGGCAACAAAGCAACATGTTTAATTCTGGCGCGGCAAAAACGAGAGAGACTAGGTCGTTGCCGAAGAAAACAGTCAACACAGAGACCAAGAAAAAAAGCCCAATAAACCGGATACCATTTTTGATCAGATTAAAACACTAAGAGCAGTAGTGACCCACCTTGGATAGGGGTGGTCAACCAGATACTACTGAGAAGAAAAACACCACAACAGCTGACATTGTTAGGCATTCCATCAGGCCAGAGGCGCTGACAGATGCAGAAGACATACCGAAAGTTTGAATGATGATCACACATTCTTGACCACAATCTTGATTTGACAGACCAGTGTTGAACAAGAAGCAGTAGCTACACTAGTAAGTAAAGTAAAGGACCCTTTTCTACACCTTTAGGCGTATAGGGCATATAGAGCTAGATTTATATTTCAATTGACCAGTCAGCCGCACAAGATGGTTGAAGTGGTCAGCATCACGCCGGCCATCTTTATTTCCCTGGACTGCACCCGGTACCCACTCAAGGCGGGTCGACCTGGGAGCCAAGGTCATTTTTGAAAAGCTACCCTAAACATGCTGACAATCCTTATGCTACTGGAGGGCCTGTGGGGAAAGCGATCCATAGTGAAGCTAAAGAAATTCAGAGATGGAATAGTCACCACACTTAACAAGACTACGAATACGTGTAAAATGATACAGGAGATCAGGAAGACATCCAAGAAAGAGCTACAGCTACCGAATAAGTTGATGGTGGTGGCCCCTTTGTACCACACTATACGGATGTGGGCTGTCAAGCGAATCCAGTTACAACTAACTGACAAAGAAATACACGACCAAATACAGAAAGTAAATCCAAAAATTACTCATCACCAAGGTGGAGTGATGGGGATCCAGACACAACTCTACGACAGTGGCTTTGGTACAACAAAGGTAACCATATCCGGGACAAAGTTATGTTCTACAAGAAACCACAATGACCAAAGCAGTATGTCCCACACTGCAATGTTTGCGCTGCCAGAAGGCCTGGCATTCTAGAGCAACTTGTCTCAGCAAACATATTTGCAGATATTGCTCGGAGCCTCATGCCTACAGCCAGTGTCCGAAGGCTTAGATAGACAGCTATTTTCTTAAGCCCAACACAAATTAGATATGCGCAAACCGCTCCGGACCATATGGGGCCAGATACCTGTGATGCCCATATCTACAACAGTGCAGAGAGACAATGAAAACAGCTGTCAAAGAGAGTTTACCCTATAAGGAAGCCCAAAGAAGATATAAGGCACACAGGAGAGACACCTTGCTGGGCAGGTTAGGACTTCAAGATCAGATAGACCAGTTAAAGAATGATATCCAGAATCTCTGTTATGAAAAAACAGCTGCAGACTTACAGCACACACAGATAAGAAGGGAGATAGAGGAGATGACAGATATATTGAAAACTACATTAGAAGTCCTAAGACAGGTGGCAACTGAGGCAACATCAGTGGAAGAGTTCAAGGCAGAGATTGCGGCAATGCTCAGAGAAATCCAACAAAAATGAAAAACAACAAGAACCAGTTGACACCAAGGTTGTAAGACCTCTTAACCAGACAAGAAAACTAAAGAGAGGCAAAGCAACGGTTGCCAAGAAAACTATGAAAAACTGGTGAAGCGATCTAGACAGACTCTGGATCAGTGGCACGAAGAACATTGACTGGCAGCCTATAGGTTCTACAAAGAAGCATTGATCCAACAGAAGAATAAAAGAATCCACCTAGTACAGAGGAAGTCTTACCAAGTCAACAGTAGGATGATGGCGTGGAATATCTCCTATGGAGTCATGGATAAAGACAGAGTACGGAGAAGACTGAGAATGCCAGAGCAAGACCACGAAAACAACTAAGAGCCTTCTCGGATGTGCCGTGTAGTGGAAACCACCGACATATCACACGATGGAACAAACCACATTACTTGACTTCAACATTGCGACCACAGTGGCAGATACATTATGAAAATAAAACGGAGGATAACAACCAGGTGCAGAGGTCATATAATCCGGCAACATAAAGAGCACTAAACTAACTAAGATGATGGTCCTACAAACAACACGCAGAAAGCCTAGCTCAAAATAAATGGGATTACTTTCATTACTTTGTGCTGAAACGTACTTGTATCATATTCTTAGTAATTTTAGCTTTCAAAATAAACACCTTCAAAGATTACATAGACATTTCCCTACACTTTGTGTATGTGAATTTTAGTTCTAGTTATAAATTACCAGATCTTTTCCCACCTGGGAGTCTCCATGAGGTGGTCAAGTAATTTGTCTCGCATTCTGAAGGTTGTGGGTTCATTCACAGATGCATTGTTCAGTTTCACAAGTGTAGTTTTAACAGAAATCTCTGTGGATCATAAAGGTCTAGCCTTATATGCCCAGTATATCTAAATGCATGGAAAAGGGTCCTTTACTTACTGGAGATCATCTCTGGAGTAACATTCATGCTCTGTGCAATACTCACGGCTGGCCATTTCTGTGAGGAGAAACTGATCTGTGTAGGATAACCCAGTGCATTGAACTTAACCCTCTTGATTTTAACTTTTCTGGCAAATCTCTGGAACTGTCTATTACAAGATGTTTGATGATGACAATAAAGCAGTTGGAGATGTTTTTTCTAATTTTATCTATATTTAAAATGATGTCTTTTGAATTGTTTCAGGCATGTGGGCTCACCAAATGACTGTCGCAGATTATCAGGCTTTGATTGACAGAGGATGGAGAAGGTAATACTGTCAATAAGTTTTTAGTGGCAAAGATAGAATTGAAGTCTCTGCTAATACTAAGTCAGGACATCATTTGATATGTATCCCGGTGTGTCTCTTCACTGAGACAGATGAAAGTCGTAAACTTATTAGAACTAGTAGACAGACAGTCAATATTTTTTGCATTGATTCCCAAACTGCGCCACGGCGACCCAGGAAACCGTAAATATTTGAAGAGACAATTTTTTTTTTTTTTTTAAATCTCTTTCATACGAATAGTCATACTTTTACTTTTACTTAGGTTAGAATGCAGTGTAAACATTTTAATTGGAAAATGGCGCCGTGACTAAGGAAAGTTTAAGAAAAACTGATTTTTTAAAAATATATTATGAAAAGGAATGAACTTGGTAATAGCTGGCAAGATTGATGGAAAGAGAGCTAGAGAGAGGCAAAGAGATAGATACCTGGATAGCCTTACCAGATGGATGGAATGAGGCAATAATATTGAACTGATCCATGATTCTGGTAATCATATGAGATGGTGACACGTGACAGAATATGCTTACCGGCACTGCACAAGATGATGATGATGATCACTGTGTGGGTTCCAGGGCTCCATTATTGTGAGTGGGGGGGGGGGGGGTGTTTGACCCCCCCCCCCCCCCCCCCCCCCCCCCAAACAAGCATGTTAAAAAAGGTCACTAATTAGAAAGGTGGACTTTAGAGTGAGTGCATCTGCCTGAGAAGCAAGAAACAATTTGTGTATAGATAAGACAGGTCTGTAAAAAGGATGTGCACACAAAATTCAGTTTCTGGATAAAGACCAAAGTCCAGAAGTGGATGAACAACCAGAACTTTCAGCTGGAGTTTACAACCAGTAAACACTAAGATGAAGATATGGTATGTGTGTTCAGTTCCAATTCTTATCTTCTTTTCTTTTCAGATGATTTGTATGAAATTGTAAAATAAATTGTATGAAATTAGGTCACACCCACATTCTCCTGTAACCTTCTCACAAGTCAACATCTCAATCCTCTCGTACCTCTTCCCAGAGCTGTGCTGGTAAAATGTATCCTTCAGCTGCTGGGATTGGAACCCTGACTTCTAAATTGGCAGACATATTGACTAGTTGTTCCAGCCAGTGATGGCTTGTGGCTAAAAACAGTAGAGGGTACTGCAGTTCTGCAGTGCCTATCCACCAACCGCCGCTGGTGTAATCACAGCCAGTATCGGTGCACAGTCTCTGCCCCAGAACATGTTTTGAGCTGAAATGCAATGGAAAGATTCTTGAAATACCAAGGACCAAGATGAACAGAAATATTGACATCCGAAAAGATTTGGATATCAAGGAAAATCCACTAGTAAACAGCATCTCGATTGGAAACTGAAATACTTTGACCATTTCAGATGCCATGATGGATGTGGGGGGCAGTAGCAGACAGTGTGATACTGGATAAGAGGGGTCGGATGAAGATGTTCAAGGATATAAGAGACATCTTTGGCAGGAAAATGTATGAGGCAGGAGAGCTGATGAGGGACTGGGTTTCTTTCAGATGGGCCGTGATGAGGGTGACATTCTGTTCTGCTACATTTTGATGATAATGATACACGTGTATGAAGTAATCTAGTATGATGTTCAGCTTTCCCCACTTTTCTCTTTTTTTTGGTTGAAAATAATCCAGTACAGGGTCACCTCGACTTGTGACCAGGTTCCATTCTGACTAAAAGGTCATAATTCAGATTTATAATTTTTGTTACTTTTTTTATTCAAATTTGTTATACAAATGATACATAAAACACAAAAATTCGAAATGTGTATGTATAATTATTGTACATAATGTGAAAAGATACATGTGTGCCCTAGTGTGGTCGTAAGTACAGATAGTTGCAAGTTGCCTAGGTCCTAACTTGAGGAGAAGATCTGTCCATTTGTTGAGGTTGGGTCCACCCCAGAACTGTGCTGATGGGGAAAATTAGACCACTTCTAGGGGTTGAATCAAGACCTCAGTGTTGGCAAGCAAACATCCTAACCACAGTACTGCACAGCTGCTATCATCATCATCAGTTAGCGTTTTAGCTTAGTATTTATTGTAATATTATTCTGCTCCATCAAAGTGTATTATAATGCTCATCTGTTCTTACAGGAGTGGTATGTACTGCTACAAGCCCACAATGAACCTAACCTGCTGCCCACAGTACACAATCAGATGTCACCCTCTTGAATTCAAACTCAACAAATCTCACAAGAAAGTTATAAAGAGGGTGAACAAGTTTCTGATTTCGGGAGTGAAGCCAGGACACGACAGCGAAGCAAGCAGTAAGGAGTATGAAGGCATTGATATGGTGGAAAGGAATGTAAAAGATGCGGAAAGTGCTATGGCCCAAAAGACAAAACCTAGTGAAATTGTTTTACCACATGGTGGCAAGGTAAGCCTTTGTCAGTGCATCCAGTATGCGTTTTATTATTAAAAAAATTAAAATAATTTAAGTAGTGATGTTACAAACCGTATGTTATACAGATTATTGCCCAGCATATTGGATACATAACCAGAAGTTTAGGAATCACGGCTTCTCAGGGCAACAGTAACAGTCCGTGTTTGTTATTCACTAGCCACATATTCCATCTGTTTGCAGGACTGCTCATCCAAATTGTACCTGGTGTTGTTGCATATGTTTATATGTTTGAGTTGTAGTAAATATTGTTTACATATATTTATGTTATCATATATTTTCATAAGTTTAGGTTAATATGGTGTATGTATCTTTGTAATTTTAGTTAATGTATATTTGTGATTCAGATATTCTATGAGTGTATGCATATGATAGTGCCTCCCTTCCCCCTTTTCCTCCCACCACCATACTGTTGCAAATATTTGTGGGTCACATATTGTATATAATATAAAGCTTTTCAATTATTGCGTAAATTTATGTGTTCATTTATTGCATACATATATATATTTGTTGCTAATGCATAAGTGTATATGTTTTAGTTATTGCATGTATTTAATTTTTCACTTATAGTGTACATTTATGTTTCACAAATTATTGGTATTTTATATTTTAACAAATTGCATATATTTATGTGTTTTTCTTACTGTATTTTATTATTTTGTGCTCAGCAGAAGACAATGAAGAATCCCAAAGGGAGTGTGAGTGAAACAACATTCCAGACATCAAATTCATCTCCATCAATACCGACAGGAAGTAAATCAGCTGTAATATTGTCACAAGAGGATAGAGAGAAGCAGAACGAGGGGAGCAACTCGAGGTGCACCCCAACACCAGGTAACTTGACCTGCTAGATGCATGATCCCACAAGTTGTTGAATGGTGGATTTTCACAAATTACTTTAAACAGAGTGTTTAACCCCAGTAACACAACAAATATAACAAGATTGGCATCGGACAGGGCACCACAGAGAGCATTGTTATACAGATACAGTGGTAACAGAGCCAGAGGTCGACCTCGCAGTAGATGGACCACAGAAGTATTAGGAAAAAAATATACTTTATACGAAGCAAAATAGAAAGGGCCCATTCTGGAAATATCTTCCTGCTCTGACGCCACAAGGCATTCCGGGCGTAGAGATAAGAAAAAGAACCCTCCCAAAAAGTGTCACGACTCTGTTGGAATGCAGAAAAAAAATCCTTTTAAAAACACGGATCACTAATAAATTGGTTAACAGTATATTTATCTACATAAAATTAATTTTCTAATACCTTAAAAATTAAAGTTATTTGGAGTTATTAATAAACATGAACGTAGCGAACCACTCAATTTAAATGGAGGATATTCCCTGAGGCCTAAAAAACAACTATATGTACTGGTTGACTAATGCTTTGACCTTGTGGCCTTTACCACTGAGATCTATGGGGAAATTTACGTCAACATTGCTTTATAAAAGCTATTTGGCTCACAGAGAAACACCCTAATGCTATGTTTAGCTAATATATTCATATCCTGACCTTTAATCATTTGCAGTATGGTGAATTAGCATTAATTATTCATCTTCTAAACATCTCACTTTAGAAAAATAAAAAGAGGGGGAGAGAGAGAAGGAGGGAGAAAGAGAGAGAGAGAGTTTTGTAGTGATGTGTTCTTTTTTCTTGCAGGCTGTGTGAAATCGTAATTTTTCAGAAATGTTCTCACGAATCATGAATTATTGGTCATTTCCCCCCAGGGATTCTAGGGCCAAAGTGATAAAGTATTCTGCTTCAGACGTTTCTTAGGCTCACTTTCTCTGAGGCTTTTTGTTTTTTGCTAGAGGGGGGCAACAGGTGCTGGCATTATTCTCTACTGGCCTGGTGTTTAAATCCCTATCAGTAGGTGGATTTTTAAAAGACGTCCATGGGCTTTCAGTTCATTCAAGCTGAATTAGATAGCAGGAAATTAATTACAAGTATGTTGACCACATCACCCATTCTATAAAATATAGCTCTAGCCCTCTGTACCCACTGAACCTGAAGGCGTGGACAAGGGTCCTTTACTTGACACAAACTATTGAGTGCACATTGATATATACAAATATGGAGCTGGCACCATGTACCCAGTACACCTCGAGACATAGAAGTGGGTACTTTACTATCACCAGTCAGGTGCCGACTCGACATTAAAGGTTGGCTGCAGTTGATCTCCAACACCTCTGTTCATGGTCCTGGTTGTACTCTCTCTCAGACTGCTGCCCACCCATCTCTAGGTGTTATCCTCCCACTTGTATCATTTTCCACCTTTTGCTGTCTTGCCTTCGACCTTTCCCTCCAGTATGGTTTTTAAGTATGGAATGTCTTTTAATGTGGCAAAAGTATTTCGTCTTTTTAAAAACTTCTTTCAGGAATTCTTTTTTCATTTGTAGCCTTTCCAGAACCGCTGTATTGGACCGTTTTTGTTTCCATGAAATATGACCTGTTTTTCTGTATACCCACATATCCAGAGACTTAATTCGATTTTCTGTTTGCTTTTTTATTGTCCATGTTTTTGAACTATATAGCAGGACATAACATTTGACGATTCTCATTTTTAGTGTGTAGTTTATATCTCTAGCTGTCAGTAACTTGCGCATCTTATTGAAGACAGTTTTAGCCAACGTCTTGAACGAAGAGAATATACATGTATGCTGCCTACAAGAGACGTATCTCAAACAAGATATGGCCTTTAAGATCAGAGGCTACCAGTGTTTCCGATCTGACCGCAAAGACAGGAGAAAAGGTGGAATTCTTACCCTGGTCAAAAATAACATCCTTGCGGGCCGGATCGAAACATACATGGAAGGTGCTGAGTATCAAACTCTTGAGCTCAAGTTAGAAAATACAGATTTACATCTGACCAACTATTACTGTCCGAGCGACCGCCCTCAGGCACTGGATACAGTACTAATAAATGAAAAAAATGATCATTTGTGGGGATTTTAATAGCCATTCCCAAAGTTGGGGCTACGATCATATGGACCAGAGAGGAGAGAAACTAGAGGACTGGCAGGATGAGAATAGGTTCATCCTCGTTAATAAGCCAACCGACCCACCAACCTTCTACTCTAGAGCATGGCATACCACCTCGACACCAGACCTAGCCTTTCACTCAGCAGACATGGAACTGAATGTTACCAGAACTGTTGGGAAGCAACTAGGAGGCAGTGACCACCGGCCAGTCTTTCTAACTATCGAAAGCCAGTCTGTAAGAGAGAGCAGCACACTGCCAAGGTGGAATTTTAAGAAGGCAGACTGGAAGTTATATCAGCTTCGCACAAATGTTCTGCTTGAAAATCTGAACACAGATAACGACGTAGACAAAGTAGTCCAAGAGTTGAGCAAACACATACTGCAGGCAGCCCTAGAAGCAGTTCCAAGAGGTGCGCGTAAACATACAAACCGTACTGGAATTGCGATCTGGAGCAACTGCACAACAATATGGAAACAGAAAGAAAACAAGCTGAGACCAGACCTTGTCAAGAGCAGTTTAACAACTACCAACATTCAAAGGCCAAATTTCAAAGAGCCAAACTGCAGGCTAGACGGAGAAGCTGGCAGGAAAAGACAAAGTCTCTAAACTTTGAAAGAGACACAAGGAAGCTGTGGAGGTTAATTAAGCAAATTAATGATGAGAATACAGGAAGAAATGGTAATATTGCACTATGCAAAGAGGGAGCCATCCTAACAAGAAAACAGGCAGCTGACCACTTTGCAGATTCCTTTGCAGAAGACAGCAACATTAATGTCAGCCCAGAGAAACAGCGAGAGGTTCAAGAAAAAACAACAACATACAAGACAAAAAGATATAATTCCTGAGGCACTGGTGGCAGCATTTACATCCAGCGAGTTAGAATTAGCAATATCAAAGCTGAAAATGGGAAAATCACCTGGAACTGATGGAATCACCAACGAAATGATCAAGAACCTTGGAGCAACTGCCAAAAAAAAGCTGCTACAGATCTTTAATCATTGTTGGACAAGTGGCAAAGTTCCTCAAATATGGAGAGAAGCAATCACAATACCTCTGCTTAAACCAGGAAAGGACAGTTCTGATGCCTCCAGCTATAGACCGATCAGTCTTACCAGCTTCCTCTGTAAAACAATGGAACGTATTGTCAACCTTAGACTCCAATGGTACTTGGAAAGTGAAAACATTTTCACGCCGCAGCAGGCAGGATTTAGACAGTGCTACTCCACAGAAGACCAGACAACTTACCTTTCACAAGAAATTGAGGATGCCTTCCAGGAAAAGAAGCTAGTGCTAACGGCATGGATAGATCTGAAGAAAGCCTTTGACAAGGTGTGGAAAGAAGGTCTACTGAAGAAACTGAGAGACTGCAGGGTGAATGGGAGTATGTACAAATGGGTGAAAGCATACTTGTATAACAGAAGATCCCGAGTACAGATAGATGGACTTAAGAGTAAGAAAGTTTTGCTGCGCCATGGCGTCCCACAAGGAGGTGTCCTGTCCCCCACACTCTTCCTAGTCTATATCAACGACCTGCTTTCTGAACTACCCCATGGAATTAAAGCTGCAATGTATGCTGATGACTTGGTACTCTGGTGTACAAATGAAAATGCGACAGTGGCCACCAGACTGCTACAAAGAGCCATAGATGCAATGGCTGATTGGGCCGACAAATGGTGTGTCAGCATCAATATAGGCAAATGCAGCACCACCCTCTTTACCCTTTCTCCTAAACAAAAATCAGGTGTCATGCACATAAATGGAGTACCCCTGAGAGAGGATAAGGAGCCCACATACCTCGGCGTAACGTTTGATGATAGATTAACATGGAGAAAACACATCAACAAGGCAGCAACCCAAAGCCAGAAGGAGGGTAGCCATTCTGAGAAAACTAAGTGGAAACCACATGGGGTGCTAGCGGGAAAATACTTAGGAAAGTTTTACCAACAAAGTGTTCGACCACATCTTGAATACGGATCAACAGCATGGAGTTCGGCATCAAAAACCACATTGCAAGAATTAGATAAAGTGCAAAATCAAGCACTCAGAGTTACCACAGGCAGTATGAAATCAACACCTATAGCTGTGATGGAGAAAATGGGGATGACCCAAGCACTGAGTGAACGCAGAGACACCAAGATGCTTTTACAAGCAGAAAAGTTTCTTAGTGTGCCCAGTCACCCTATGAATGAAAGATTCAAAAATTTAGCTTTGGGACGACTAAAGAGAAGTAGTTTTATCCACACAGGCCAAACGGCTCGGCAGACAAACCACTGATTTACCTGCAACTGATAGATCCTTAAATGCTGTCCCAGAACGGACCCCTGGAGAGAGGAGTATAAGTTTCCAATACACATCAAGACTGAAGTGAAAGGGGTATTTGACAAGGAAGAACAAAACAGTGTGCAGCGCAAAACAGCCACCCTCAGTCTACTTGATGATGAATACCCGAAGAACCTTTGGGTCCGTGTTTACACAGATGGGTCAGCAGAAAGCGCAGTCAGAAACGGAGGTGCAGGAGTGTACATTGAGTATCCTAATAATACCAGGGATACAGCCAAATTACCAACGGGAAAGCACTGTCACAACTATGATGCAGAAGTTCAAGCCATCAAGATAGCGGTAGATAAACTACTAAATATAGGGTATTTTTCACAACCAGTGGGTATTCCTGACAGATGCAAAAGCAGTACTTCAGTCACTCCAGTCTGGAAAATTACCAAGCATACAGACACTATTATCCGAACTAGGCACCGCTGTAAATTAGTAATGCAGTGGATACCTTCCCACTGTGGAGTTCCCGGAAACGAAAAAGCTGATAAACTAGCTAAGGAAGGTGCAACTGAAGAAAAACCTGACATACCAGTCTCTTATCAACAGAAGAAGAGAATGATCAAATCAATCAGAATGCCACCGAAACTGCACAAATGATTACCATATTATGGACAGACCAGAGCAAGTCATTATCCTTCGCCTTAGAACAGGGCACAATCGACTTCGCTCCCACATGTACAACAAATTTAAGATTGGCCAATCAGCCATGTGTACTTGTGGACTGGCACCTGAAACAACAGATCACATCCTTCAAGACTGTCCCAGATTCAACGCTTTCAGGCAAAACCTTTGGCCAAAAGAGACACTTGTGGAAGTCAAACTTTACGGGCCGCTTAGTGAATTACAAAAGACAGTGAAATTCATACAAGAGACAGCTTTGCAGATATAGACAATTTATTTCATGCGGACGAAAGAAGAAGAAGAAGAAGTTTTAGCCATTGCAATTTAAAATTTTTTTTTTATTTCTTTACTAACTTCTAAATGTTGCGTTGAGTGTAAGAGACAACACTTGGGTGATTGCTCCATACCCATCCAGCTCAAGAGTTCCATTTCTGATGGTACCACACCAGTCTGAGTTTGATTATATTTTCATTTTGCTTTTCCTTTGAGTGTAGAGTATCATCATCCCCAGGAAGGCTAACTGTCAGGGGTCATCTCGGTTATAGAACAGTCCAAGGTGATGATGATGAATCAACAAAGCTGTCGATAGTGACTCCTAACTAAACTCATTGCCAGCGCAGACAAGCCAATACACGGATAAATCTGTGTTAGCTGAACAAGGCTTGCCGGACATCAGCCGGCTTCACGAAGCGTTCACTGAACACTGAACCCTGGAAGTTCAACAAAATGATTTCGCAAAGGACAGATCGGGGATTCTTGGGAGGACCTCTGTGTGACTTGGACGTTATTTGACCAGACCGTTAGATTGTTATAGTTCATTGACAAATCGTAACGACCGCTAGAAATGTGGCATGTGTTTGATGTTAACTGTGATTCTTACAGTTCGGTGTTTGACTAAATGTGGTTAGTACTTTACAGTGTAGGTAGAAATTGTTTCACTTCAATCTCCTTTAGCAGATAGATTCACGATAGCAGTTAGACTCCTCTCAGTAGTGATACCTCGTTATGGGAAACAAGGCCATGTATTGTTTGTGGCGTTAGCATCTGCCGACGCACCTCCCGCCCTCACTCAGCGTGTGCCACAGCATCCTTGGCATCGGGAGACAGCGAGTTAAGATAGCGCTGTACGGGAGTGTGGTAGGAGCTCAGAGCTTATTTCATGAAATGTGAAAAGGCGCGTTTAGCAATTTTAAAGTTAGAGCGGCCTGATTTAAGAATAATGAGCACTAGCGCTCCTGAGGTACAAACCTCTATGAGTTCGTATTCTTAGATAATAAAGACTGTGTCTGTGTTCAACCAGTGATTGGCTTGGGTGTGCTCATTTAGCAGAGTTTACTTTCATCAGCCTGCAGCGCAGCCATAGATTCAAACCCTAGACATGTAGGTTCTTGACACTAACCCATTCAGCAAATGTCTACAGAAGTTGGATGTGTCTGCCGAAAGGTGCAAATATCATAGCTATGTTGTAAATGAGCACAACACAGTGACATCTTCAGATGAATGCAGAAGAAGAAGTATCACTCTCTGCAGTACCATTCTCCTCAGACTGATAATTTTTTTGTGAGTTCCACACTGTCTTTTAAATATTATGTGAGAGTCATACATCTTTATAAGACAGTTACTGTAGATGTTGGATGTAATTACGGACCTACATTTTTGGTTCATATAAGGTTTATTCGAATGACAGGTACAGGGCCAGATCCCAGCAAACCAAAATGTAAAAAAGCAAAAGAGATCAGAGCAGAACGAAGGATGATGAAACAGTCGCAGATTGGGGACAGTGAAACTAAGCAGGTATTGACAGATTTTCAGAAGTGTTTTCCCATTATTTATTTAAATAATGATATGTGACACAGTTTATTGCCTAGCACTATATCTCATCAGGAGCATTACTGCATCAACGTGTAATAAAGAGCACACAATTAAGGTTGGCGTTTAAAGCGGATATTTAGATAAATAAAAGGATCACATAGTTATTCTTAGACTTCTGTGGTGATCACATCATTAATTTTAGACTTCAGTTGGTGAGATTTACATTATATCAATAGACACTGTAATTTGTGTAAAATGGTTGAAAGAATTAATACTTTATTCTTCATAGCATGTTGATGTAAACTGATTAATTATTGTTAATTTCTTTGGGTGGATAGTTTGCAAAAAGTTGCTCATTGGTGTCCATTTGTTTTGTTTTATGATCTTGTAAATGTACCTGTTGGAGTTTTCACTGTGTTGTACTTCGCTCAGTGTATGTCTTTATTCTCTTGTTTACTGCTATCCTATGATAAACAATGTGCGTCATTCTATCCTTGAATACTTGTAGCCTGGATGTATCAGTATGTCCTGTTCCATCCCTGCATTCCTGTGTCTATTGTGATAAGAGAGGAATTTCATACATGAATATACTTCTCCGCATGTCTTGTCTTTTATTACTGCCATGCAGGGATTTTTCAGTACATCCCACTTCATCCCTTGTTGTCAGTATGCTGGGGTCTTTCACTGTCCCTTTATGTCACTGCAGCACCATATTTGCCATAATCTTTCAGTGTTTTACTTTATTTTCACATTCTCTTATGGAAAGACATTGATAGTATTTTATTAACCTCACTGGCTTTTTGAAAGTAGAATGATATAGTCTAGGTATTTCAGAATTTACATCATACTTTTTTAAGGAAGACTTCTGTTAATATGTTTGATTTCATCTTTCAGAAAAAGCAAAAATCAAGTAGAGAGAAAAGCCTGGAAGATTTCCTTAGAGAACCGGAGCATGTAGAAAATCCTGCTCACAAGTTGGAGGTAGGCACCATTTTCTTCACTTTCTTCCCCTGCTTTTTGCCCTGTTGGTGCAAAGGTCTTTTGCTAGCTCATGGCAAACAAGCTTTACTTATCTTTAAAATTGTTTATGGTTGTCAAATTTGTGCAAGCCTATGTTTCCAATATGATAGATAACTTGCCACATGATCATACACACACACGCACATACATACATATGAATAACTATAACCTCAAGTCCGACTAGACACATGTGAAAGAGGTAGTTTTGAAGAAGGGAAAGGACTCTATGCTTTGAAAGTGATAGCATCAACGGATATGGAACAAAGAATGCTGGGATCCGTTGGACAGTGCACTAGAACAGACAGAGAGTCCTTACATTGAAAGACGAATTCAGCAAGGGTCTATGGTCACAAAGGTGGCCTGAAGGACAGAAGCAGATCATCCTCAACACCATAAGCTTATAAAAGAGGAAGTGAAGAAGGAGAATTAAAATTTCCAGAGATTTTATAGGTCTGTGGATTGTCTGTTTAATGCAGAGGTTTCAATAATCTGTTACTGTTTCTCATTTAGATTAGTCTCATTCTTTTGGCGTGGGGACTACACTTTTTAAATTATATACTGTTGAGAATCATCTCCTTTAAAATCTTCTTTATCATCAATTTCTCTTTTTCTTTTTCTCCTGTTCCTTCAACAAAGCCTTGCATATATCACATCTAGTTTGAGAATGGAAGTGAAGGCAGTCACTGCTGCCTTCCGCTGGCTTGAGAATCAGCTGTAAACACATGCTGTGATTGTAACTGACTCACAGAGCATGTTAAGAAAGGTGAAGTCAGGCATGCTTCCTGCAGAGTGGCAAGCATTACTTTAGAGGTCCCGGGTAGTTAGCGTCCTTTGGATATTTACTTCAGGTGGGTGATGCTGGTGTGTTGGGAAATGAGCTGGCAGATAAAATGACTGGCTGTGCGCCACTTGGTGGAGAACTGAAGTATGACAAGCTAGATATTGTGAGGGCCCTTTGGGAGCAAGTGAACAGTGATGAAGCACAGATAGATCATTACGGTCTGAGGAGAATGGTGCTGCGAGGAGTTACCAGGGGATCTGACAGATGTTCAACACTCTGGGAAAGGGCGAGATGGATATTCAATCAGACAGTTACTGGTGCAATTGCTGCTGAAGATGGGGGTGTCCCAAGTGCTGTAATGTCGATTCTTAGTTCAGCATTCAACATTCCTGTTCCTTCTCCCACTCTTCCCCCTTCCTCTTCTTTTCATGTCCCAGTGAAGCCTAGGCCAATAACAGCTCACACCATATTCTCTTTATTGTTCATAACACTGTGTTTCCCTGAAAATAAGACTGGGTCTTATTATTTAATTTGTTTAAAAAAATTGCACTAGTGATTATTTTCAGGCAATTTTTTTTTTTCAGGCACAAAAATGGACATTTATTTGTCTACAAAATTCTACATTTATTCAAATGTAGTTACATCATCTTCTCCTGGAACATCATCATAACTACATATATAGTCACATCATCTTCTCCTGGAACATCATCATAACTACATATATAGTCACATCATCTTTTTCTGGAACATCATCATAACTACATATATAGTCACATCATCTTCTCCTGGAACATCATCATAAATCCAAATATAGTCACATCATCTTCTCCTGGAACATCATCATAACTCTCCAACTCTTGTATTCTGACCTTGATTTCTTGCGACTCTATTTCTTGTAAAAACTCTGGCCCCAGAGTCGCTCATATCAGGAACAAAGCTTTCCTAAAATAAATATTTCTTGTGCGTGCAGCCTGCTAGTAGTGTACTGGTAAACCCCAGCTGGCCAGGACTTGTATCCCATCTGTTGATTATCAGATGTACACCAGTGATGTTTATCTACTCCAACTGGCCTATCGGCAACAAGTTCCTCATTTTAGCTGATGATCTTAACGTGGGGGGGGGGGGGGGGGGGGGCTTATATTACAAGCATCTTGAAAAATCTGCTGCTGGGGCTTATTTTTGGGGTAGGGGTTATTTTCAGGGAAACATGGAAGTTGAATTTTGCTGCCAGTGTATTTACAGCAGGATGAGGTAGCCAGTCTCACACCAACCCTCTTTAGTTGTCTCTTATGACATGCATGGTAGGCAATCCTGTGTTACTGTTCTTTCCTTCCCTTATTTGTTTTGGGATCACAGACAATTTACCATTCCTCATATTTCCCAGGTATAACCCAAATAACCTCTGTCATTGCTGCTAAAACGAATAAGTATGATGTCAGTGATGTAATGTTCATGAAGGTGCTCCATGTTCACCTGTTTGTGCATCCACTCAGCTTCACCTGATCAGGTCGAGCCCACCTAGTGATGCCTTCAAGTCTGCATTCAGCTTAGAGCATGGTGTCTACTTGAAGTACCAGACAACCATACATAAGGATCCGCCCAGCAAACCGACCCAGAGCCAGTACAAACGCTTTCTATGTGACTCCCCTTTGGTGGTAAATTAAAAAACAGGACTTGAAATGCACAAAACAAGTGTTTGATACAGAAATGGATAAAATCAGGTGGGGGAGGGTGGGGAATGTTGTTTAAATTGACACCAATGAGGATATTTTTAGACATCATGTTTGAATGAACGTTTATTTGAAATGATGTATGCACAATATAAATATGTGTATGCATGTGTGCGTTTATTTGAAATTTCTTTTTTAAATTTAACACCATTTCCTTGAGAAGCCTTAAGGGACTCCTTATAACTATTTCTCTATTAGATTTCTCCATTAGATGCATTGTGCGGCCATTGTAACATAATCCTTCATGAAACCTGTACCAGACCAGTTGAAGTCCTTGTACCAGGCTGGTTTCTGTAAGGTTTTTTGTTTTCTTCAATGGCAGTCCATCACATATGAAAGTAACAACCACTTCTCAGGCAAATAATGAATATCTTTTCAATTTGTCATAGATTGCTCTGTGCCGCACTGCACCAGAATCTCTTCAGTTCCGTCTGAGTTTCCATGAATCCTATGCTGTTTATCGCGCATATCAGATGGCTGTGCATAAAGACCCCCCAGAAGAGTGTGACAAGTTTGGTTTTAAAAGCTTTCTGGTGGACTCCCCACTAGAGGTGATTAGAGTTTCATTTTAAGAGGTCTAGCTTTTGGTGTTTAGCTGGTGACAGTTCAGGCTTTTTTGTTGCATGCTAAGGTGGTCTTGTTCACATCTGTGTGTTGGATTCATGTTATGCTTCCTGTATACCTGTGTTTTATAAATGGTGAAGGCAACAACAGTAGAATTGCAGAATTTATTGCCTGACATATTTTACTTTTATCTTTTTATATGTAAAAAATATAGTGTGCCTGACCAGCCTGTCCTTCTGTTTGCATAACAAAGAATTTGGCTGTTTTTCTTTCTTTATTTGCACATTACCTGTTGGGTTTCAGTGTGTTATTGATAAGCAATGTACATTTAGTGCAGGTGAGGGCAACCTTTGTTTTGGGTCTGTGGGCCACATTTAGAATTATCAACCTAGTCGCTGGCCATGTAGAAAAAATCTATTATAACCATAACGCCCATATTTGCTCGTAACACAATATTTTGGGGAGTAATCTAAAATTATAATCCCTCGCCATGCCCCTGGCTGGACGCGCTCACCCGTTGAAGCTGTTCTGCGTATTGATAAATGTGTCTGTTCAAGCTGGTTATTCGTTCTGCTGTGTTGTTAGCTCAAGGGCTACATTATGTAGTAATTTTACATCAGCTTCGCTGACCAGTAAAAATTGCTCGGCGGGTCAGTTTTGGCCTGCGGTCATAGTTTACCCGCCCTGATTTAATGTAATATATCACACGGCCAAACAGAATTTGCAGAATCAGAGAACCGCACATACGTAACGTCTCACGATTAAATGTTAAATGTTGAACTAAGAATTTACATCATAGCTCTCGGGACACTCCTATAAGCACTCCATCTTCATCTTCAGCAGCAAGCAGAGTTTCCAATTCCGATGGTATCAGTAACTGTCTGATTGTATATATGTTTTGCATTTCCCATAAATGTTGAGCACCGGCCAGATCTCCTTGTAACTCCTCGCAGCGCCATTCTTCCCAGACCGTAATGATCTATTTGTGCCTCTGCACTGTTCACTCGTTCTCAAAGAGCCCTCACAACATCTAGCATGTCAAACATCAACTCACCACCAAGCGGTGCAGGACCGGCCAGTCTATCTGCCTGCTCATTTCCCAACGACCGGCATGACGTAGAGAAAATATCTAAAGGGTGCTAACTACTCGGGACCTATGAAGTGATGCTTGCCACTCATGATTACTACAGAAGAACTTGCTGGTCAGTTTAAAAGAGCTATGGTAACACATATACAGAATTAACAGACTAAGTACTTGATGTATTTTGTCTAAAGTATTCATTATGGTACCAGAAAGGTGACCAACATAATGGTGACTATATCGCCAGTTGAATGCTGCTTGTTTTGTAAAAACATTGGTCTAACATCATAGCTATTTAAACAGAAGGAAATACTGGACAGTTGAAAAACTACCTTTATAACACATATGTCAAAATAGCAGACTAAGTGTACGGTGAGTGTCTGATGAAAGCGCTCATTCAGGCACCAGAAAGTCATGGAAAGTAAAGATAGCCAGCATAGTTTTGACTTATCACCTGTTAAGTGCCGATTGTTTTATACAAAAATAGATCTAGCACTTGCATCTAATATGCCACTGGCATGAAAGGAGAAGGCATAGAAATAGAAGAGCCGGAGCCCGGATGATCGGGCGAAGTTACAAGGGGACCCGGCCGACGCTTGACACTCAGTGGAAAGGCGAGATGCACTGGTACCATCAGAATTTTTTACTCTTCACTTGCTGTTGAAGATGAGGACGGAGCACTTATGGGGGTGTCCCAAGTGCTGTGAAGTTGATTCATAATTCAACATTCAGCTTTATAATAAATAATGGGGGAGGGGGGGCACTTGGGCTTTCTTTTATTATTTTAATTTACTTACATTCTTGTGTTCAGAGGAAAGAACTAAATTCATTCTCCTCTCCCTTTAGTGTTTTTAAATCTTGTATTTAATTTTAAAAGACAAAAGCAAACTTAATAAAAGCTTTTTAAAAAAATAGTTTTTAAAAAGGGGATTATTTCTGCTATGAGACACTTGTTTGTGCATTCATGCATGCTATGTGTTTTATTTATTATCATCTGCTGCTTGTGTATGAATATACTGAATCATTTTAGTTATCGGATTGTTTTGCTTCTAGAACTAGATCTTGTGCAGATACAACTGTCTGTTGAAGGACTTTAGAAAAGCAGAGATGAACTGGACTAGGGCTCATACTGGTAAAGATCTATCTACACCCACCTGTTTGTGGTCATCCAAGAAACAAGATTTCATACCCATGGCCTGGCCAGCATAGATAGGATCAGTTTTTTTTCTCCCTTCAAAGTTGGATTAACGTCGGCCCAAGAAGCAAGCAATGAACATTCTGCTTATAAAAAAGCCAGATTGATAAAATATTAATAAAGTAACAGATAGTTTATTAATCGGCAGTCATAGAAAGAAGTAGAAAGATAGAAGAATACACTAGACAACATAAATATTCTAAAGCTATAGTTACCGTGCTGGGAGTCGAACCTGTCACCTCCAGAGGGCGTGTTCGCCTCACTATGGAAACAAGTGTAATAAGACCATGGACAACTAGATTTATAAAATGGATGTAGAGACAACAATCCAGTCCTGGAACAAGACGAAAATCCAGACAAGGACGAATAGCCAGGACTTTCCATCTGAGTTCACAGCCAACAAATTGCAGAAGAAGAACCACATTCATTTATTTAAAAGTAACGTTTTCCCATTTTGAATATAAATAATAAGGAAATAATAAAGAGCAGTTTTTTTGCCTGGTACATTTGTCTATATCTTGTCAGATGCACCTGGCAAGATGCATTGAAATATGATAGGCAGTACATATTTTGCGCCCTTGTTATTTAAATGAAGCTATTTGTTATTTAGCTTGGAAATTACATGCATGCAGGATTGGCTGGGTTGTCTTGTCAAGATATTGGATCCGAACTCTGCTAACTGCCAATTACTGCCTCTATTTATCACCTTTGCAGTGTAGGCAGGAGATCTTTGAGCGTGAGGATTTAGGGCCACATGGCTAATGCACTCGCCATGGATTGTGCAACGTAGAATTTATTTGTACTTTCAACAGAAAAAAAAACACACCCCAAACCTTAGAGGATTCGAACCTGGGTCTGCTGCATGCTTCAAGCCACATGAAAGCTTGTGTCATCACTATCACCTTCATTGTCATGCTGCTAGTAGTCTTAGAGAAGGCACAACTGGCTACTTGGACTGTTCTGCATGCAAAACGAGCTATAAATGTCCATGTATTCTCATGTCCTAACACTGCAGACCTATTCGAGTAGATCAGCCTCATCTGACTTGTCACTGATAAGCGCGCAGACCTCGGCATTGATAACAACAGTATTTTGCTGCCGACAATTCCTATCAAGCCTGATGACACTATAGGCACAAGTATCTGTTCCTAAGCATTGTGAATGTCTGTAAGACTGCAGGCTTGTTTGACATCATCCTTTGCTTTATGCAGCCATGAGTTTGCTCCTTTTAGGCTAATACATTCTGGTTATCAGTCCTACCAAAAAAAAAATACAAAAAACATTATTTCCTACAAAACTAGTTCCCACAAAATAAATTCCTACAAAACTGTGGTATATCCTGTTGAGAAGTTGACCCCAGATTTGTACTGGTCAGGCAGATATAATTCTATCACTTCTAGGGCTTGAGTTCATTCAGACTATAATCTTAGAAGGATTATGTTAGTTGTTAGTTGATGTTCTGACTTTAGTGACAGATTGCTCCTAAACTGCTCCCTTCCTGTGCAGATCACTTAAGTGTCCCATTAAAAAAAAAAAAAAACAATTCCAGCTAAATATTTAAACTCTGCACATGCAGATTAAATGCTTACAACAGCTGTAAGACATCCGCACCAGAATTGCATCCTACTATTGATGCAGTTAGTCATATTTTAAGATGCGGTTTTACACACCATACTGCATACGTACGCACCGTTTTTAGTGCACTTTACAAGACAAAAGTCTTCACACAGATACAACAGAAAAAAAAAGCATTCCACATCATAAACAAAAAAATGTAGCAATCACTATGCCACAGCAGCTCCTACACGTATAATCACAAGACCATTTCCATATGTAGTAGCATATTGAGCATCCAGTACTAGCTCTTTATCTTTATGGATCAAACAGGACTGGAAAGGTAATTTGAACAACAGCAGGCTTGCCGTCTTTACTTCCCAGAACCTTCTTGCTACCCATTTATATGCTGGATCAACGTGGGTTCCTGGGTCAGTTTAAAAGATTGGCTTAGAAGACTTTATTACCATCAGACTAGCGTGCTGGCCTTTGCATTACTGAACTCATTTATAAATAAACAGTAATGTTCCATTTAATCCTTTTGCCCTAGAAATGCTTTAAAAAAAAAACTTTGAACCCAGGAAATCTTTAATAAACATCCAGATCACTGATTAATGTTAAAAATAAAAAAAATTCTTACCTATATTTTTATATTTTATTTTGAAAAATTTAAATGGACTTATCAGGAACAGATTGAAGCCTTCTTCTTCTTTGCGTTCACCAGCTGTACACACTGGCGGAAAGTTCTGGTTGTTCATCCATTTCTGAACTGCAGTCCTGCTCCATAACCTGAGTGTTGCATGTGCATCAGTTTTACAGATCTGATTCATTTGAATGCAGGCTGTTGGTTCCTTGCCTCTCAGGCACTGACTTCAAAGGAAGCTCCTCAATTAGTCGACTCTTATGACATGCTTTTGGGTAGGCTGTGGGCTTTTGTTTTCCCCACAATGGGGCCCAGGAACCCACACAGGGATATTGAAGCATTGAAGGAAATGCATTCCCTGGGGCTTAACAGAATGTCATGGGTGACTCATCCTGTGATCTGGTGATCTCTTCAGAATTCTAACACTAAGGCTACAGGCAGATTATTTTGTCAGGATGGCTCAACATTTTAATCACAAGACTCCCCTCCCGTTTTTAGTAAATGTATTAAAAACCTGACCTCCCAAATACTGAGCAGATGCAAACACAACCAATGTTTTTAACTAAGCTTCTCATGGACAAGTCACTGCAGCCGTGCTGGTTAAGCTGCATTTACAGGATGGAGCCATGATTGGGAATGTCAGGTTTTTGGCTTCTCTGGACAAGAAGGTTAATTTAATCATGCAGATGTGTATTTAAAAATGTTGGTGTTATGTAATAGAGAGATCAGTGAAGTCATTCATTACTCTAACAATGACACCTGACATTTTCCAGGAAAAGTATGACAACAATGGACCTCCAGATGGGTATGGTTCCTTTCATCAGCACTACCTGCTGGATGGCAAGCTGATAGCAGTGGGAGTGGTCGACATCCTTCCTTCGAGTGTCTCATCTGTGTATCTATACTACGATCCTGAATATAGCTTCCTGGGTCTTGGGGTGTACTCGGCTTTGAGGTATGATAAAGGAATTTTGGAACATTCTGTAATTGTATTTTCTGTATAATTTTAGGGGAATGTTGACATTGTATGCTTGTCTTATATTTGGGATTAGTCAAAACATTAGATACCTGACAGATGTAAGAGCAGAATAACAACCACCCTACCCTGTCTCAGCTTCAGGTTACTTTGTAATTGTTGGAGCCTCAGTATAACCTTCAGGTTGAGCATGGTTTCTGGATTTGTACACAGAGGATTCTGATTCGAAAAGTGACACTTTGCATTTTGCAAAGTTAATAGTTTATTGTGTGGTCCTGGTTGAGTTCAACCTCACAAGAGTGGTATAGGCCAAGCAAAAGCTGTGTTTGCGAAGGTAAAAGTATCAATTCAGTTTCTTTTTTGATGTCAGAAAGACTTGCATTTTCAAGGTGGTGGCGAGTGGTCATGTTATTTTCATGTGGTTGTGTTTTATTTTGGATTGCTGCATTCTCTTGTCACAGACTACTATTTTGTTCCTGTTTAAAATTCAGGATACATTGCATTTTTCATGGAAGTGGTACATTTTGTGGTTTTGCTTTGTCGGCCTGGAGATCCCAGCCTCGGTTGGCTGCTGTGGTCGCAGTGTTTTGATTGCAGTGGTTCACTGTTCAGGAAGCTAGATTTTGTCATCAGGAGACTGCAACTGTCTATAGAGCAAAACTGAAAAAAATCTTCCTAGAAATGGTGAAAAAAAAAATATTCATAGAAATTTTGATTAAGACTTTAAAAAAAAATTTTATTGGGAGAAATCAACACATGTGATTAATTAAATGACCATGCTGAATATCAGTAAAATTTTGGAATGTGATTTAACAAATCAGAGAGTGTTTGTGGCAGCAGAGATGTAGTTTCTGAGACACATGTTGCTAATGTTTTGGACCGCTGTAACAAATAACACTGATTGTTTGGTAAACAGTTTATGAAATTAGAGCATGCATGAATATAAGAAAGAGACAAAAGTATTCCTTGGACTTACAGTGAGATGATAAGCTGTGGAGAAAAATATAACGAAAGATCAGTGGTTGGAAAGGCAGAAGCAAGCCAATAGAAATATTGGTGGTGATCTAAGGCAACAGCACTGAGAAATATTATCAGACTGATACCTAGAGAAGAAAGCATATTCAATCCAAATCTATGCTGCCAGGGTCAGACGTGGTCACTCAAAACAAACCATAAATGAAAATTAGTCGCCATGGAGATGAGATGTTTGAAAAGGGCTGCAGGAATCACCAGAAGAGGTAAAGTCGAGATAAGAAAAAGTCAGCAAAGAAACAGTTCTGAATTACAATTAAAATTGTTTGTTCGCTTGGAGAGAATGCTTTGTGATGCCATACTATACAAGGCATGATCCACAAGAAAAGGAGGGTGTAGAGCACAAGGTAGACAAAGAACAAGATGGAAAGCTAGAATCAGATTAACTCCACAGCAGCACAATTTGGCAGCTAGAAGATCAAGAAGCAGAACTTACATCTCCATAGACACCCTAAGCTGTAAAAGAGGATGTGAAGAAGACAGTCTGTGGAGAGGCACGGATAACTTCAACCTCTTTATGTTGACGCTTAATCATCTAAGTAATTGGCATAGTTGTAGCTCTGTGGCCTAAATTTATGAGGGTGATTCTTAATGCTCCATGTAATAGGGTTGGATTTCCGCCACAGTCTGTTTAGAAAAAGATTGTTCTCATAGCTTGTGAACAGATATTCAAAATTTCACCACATTATAATGCATTTGTGGTCTGAAAAAGCCTTTGACAGTATTGATAGGGAATCTGTCTGGAGGTTCTTCTTTTTATTTGTCTGGGAGACATAATTGTGTTGTGCCTGTTTAAAGCAAAGCTGCAATATTTGCACCTTTCCGTCGAAACATCTAACTTCATCAAACATTTGTTGAATGGGTCAACTTCCTGATTTCTGAAAATTGAGGAGACTCTATGGAATCCCACAGAAAATTATGAGGCACCAGGGTGTAACCAGAGGGTCTGGCTGGCTCACTAGACTCAGAGGAAAGGCAAGATGGACAAATAACCAGATTGTGACCCGTACTATCAGTATTGGGACTCTGTGCTTGTTGCTGAAGATGAGGACGGAGCACACATGGAAATGCCCTGAGTGCTGTGATGTCAATTCTTGACTCAACTCAGCTCAACAGAAAATTATCAACTTAGTAAAGACAACATTTAAAAACAGGAAATCTTGAATTCTTTATTTGGAAAAGCAGATACATTTGAAATAATAACATGTGTGCAACAGGGATGCCTTTTGTCACCTTTAATGTTTTTTACTGGCAACAAAACACCATAGCAGAGGCTGGGACCTCACATCATTCTATTCCTAATGACCGAAGTTGATTCACTGCAGCCAGCCTATGTTGTGGAGATGGCACTGTCTTTTTTCTTTTAATATGTATCTAATGGGCAGAAATATTTGAAAGCAAAATAAAAGTAATAACATGATTTGATTTTTCCAGAGAAATTGCCCTAGTTAGAGAGTTGAATCTCTCGGCTCCAGATCTGAAGTACTACTATATGGGTTTCTACATTCACAACTGTCAGAAGATGAGGTACAAGGGCCAGTACCGACCTTCTTTTCTGGCCTGTCCTGAAACATATGAGTGGGTGCCCATAGAAAAATGCCGCCCTAAGCTGGATGTGAATAAGTACTGTCGGCTGTCAGAATCTGGCACTGGTATGATATCTGTGTTTTGTATGTGTTGTTTCTAAAGGTAAAGGTGAGAGAATTGACTTCATTGCAAGCACCGCATTTTATTCCATATGGCTCAGTCTCTCTGTGCAGAACAGCTAGCTGCCTGCCGAGAGTGTCGCACAGAGCACGACCTCTGTAGATCCGAGGACGATCCTCTGGTATCTGCCTAAAGATTGCACTCGTGAACTGAATGGCACGATTGGGAAACAACCCCCCCAACCTTCAGAGTGCAAGACAGAGAGCTTGACCACTTTGCCGCGGAGACCCCCATATGTTGTTTCTAATGTTCGGAAGTAAGTCAGGGAAAAATTATGTTGAAGCTGCAGAAGTGAGGTTTTAATGAAGGATGATGATAACAACACGGGCAGATAATTATTGTAACAAGATTGTGTTTAAAAGAGATTAATTGTCAAAGAGAACTGATAACCTGCATCTCACAGAGACAGTGTGCATTCTTTGGTCGCATCATGAGGAGGGGAAAACCAGAGTACATTGTGAGAATAGGGAAGTAGGAGGAGAAGAGAGGTCGAGGGAAGTCCAGAGAGAATATGATGGACAGTTTGGCATCTTGGCATTGAGGATCATCCTTGTCAGAAATTATTGAAAGCATCTGAAACAGAACTCTGTGGAAAGACATGACTACCAACGACACAAGGTGTAAGTGAACTGTAAAAAGAAGTATTTTGTGTCATGAATTAGTACAACTATCTTGGAGCAGTCATAGCATCTGGTGCAAGATGCCTTACAGAAATTTTAACGAAAATCGTCATGACAAAAGTAGCTATTCTTTTTTTTTTTTTTTTTTTGCTGTGTGGCGCTGGTAGTTATGTCCATCCATAACCTTCTGTCTTATGTAACTTTCAATCAACTCTGACACTGATGAACCTCCATGCCATGAGGTCAGTCATCCTCTGCCTCTCCTTCCCTCCAACTTTCCTACTGTCACGATGTACTCCAGTTTTTCTCCTTCTCATGACATGACCAAAAAATGTAGATTGTCTCTTTCTGGTGTGGGCAAGCAGTTCTCTTCGTGAGTCAGTTTCTTTCAGTTCTAAACATCTTCATTACTCTTTTTATCTGTCCAAAGTATTCTCATCATTCGTCTGTAAAACAACATCTCCACAGCTTCCAAATAAGAGTTTTACTGATTTACTAACTGTCCATGATTCACTTCTATATTTCAAGATAGGATTTATATAGCTTTTAAGAATTCTCTTTCTTGTCTAATTGGCAAAGAAAGATTGCATAAAGCATTCTTCATTTTGTAAAATGCTGCTTTTGCTTGAGCTATTCTACATTTAACCTTTTTAATACATCTTCCATCTGATTTTGTCAGGGTACCCCCCAAGTGATTTAAACATTAAAAAAAAAGTAGCTATATTAAAATGCAAGAGATGCTCGCCATGTAAAATGCCAATTGTAATGAGATAAAATGTGAAATTACTGTATAGATCCTGTGTTGTTAATACATGTAAGACATGGACAATAAGCAAACAAGTTCATGATTGGTTTGGTTGGATTTTGCAGTTCAGTAGAAATTCTGCTGATGCAGTTTCGATCTCAAGGCTTTTGGGTCTGAAGGCAAGTCTCTAGCCATTGGTATTTTTATAGGCCATACAGCACCTATGGGGGATGTGGTCAACACTACAAATGCCATCTACACTTCCCAGACCGTTTCCTAGTACCATTCCCTTTGTTAGTAGCCGACAGCCGACAAGGTGATTGCTGGCCTAAAGGTTTTGTGTTCGAATCTGCATTTCCCATGTGGGTTCTAGGGCCCCATTGTGGGAAAACAAGAACAGACCCACTGCCTGCCCAAAAGCATGTTGTAATAGTCGACTAATTGGGAGCTTCCAACAAAGTCGGAGTACATCTGCCTTAGAGTCAGGGAACCAACAGTCTGCAAGTACATGAGTCAGACCTGTGAAACGGATGTGCATGCAACGCTCAGAACTTTCTGCCCAAGTTAACAGCTAGTGGACGGGAAGATGAAGAATAGTCTGCACTGAGACATTTTGTTTTAAACTGACTTTGGCTCCGAGGTTGACCCAGCTTAAAATAGGTACCAGGTAAGGTCCTGGGGAGTAAAGGTGGCCAGCCAGTGTGAATTGGTCTATAAAATTGAAAGTACCTGCATCCTGTGCCTAATGTGCTACTGGTGTTAAAAGGGGTTCTTTACTTTCACTGACACCTTACTTTTGGCTGATTCATCTTGGCAGCTGAGTTACTTGTAAACATTTCCCTTGATATGGATGTGTACCCAAGACCTTTGGGCAGTTAGTTAAATGCCTAACTCCTCAGCTGCGTGAAGAAAAAAAAAACGATGAAACTGAAAATTGGTTCAAAACCTTTATCTTTGTTCTTGAACAGATAAAGAACAAGATTTTGATGTCAACCAAGTTCTTGTGCTACACAAAGGTAACATGCTGCCGTATGGATTCTACAAGGTGATGACCTCCCAGGGCCGAGATGAAGACGAGGTCAGGGAATACGCCAGCTTGGTTGGGAAAACCTGCGCCGAGAGGATGCTGCTAGTACGGAAATAGCCATAGGCAACTTTTGTTATTTAACCTTTGCATTGTGATGCTCTATGTGATCAGGATACTGTATATACGTCATTAGAGTGGTTAGATGTAGACAGTCTAAGTTGTTTGGACATGTTTGTTCCCTGAGTGTGGCTTCCAGGGGCCCATTTGTTGGGGGAGGGGGGGGCACTGTTCCACAACAAGCGTGTTGTGAAATTGACTAATTAAGGCTGTTCAAAGTCAGAGAGGCAAGGAACTAGCAGTAAGTAAGCAAAGTAAAGGACCCCTTTTTCACATCATAAGGTATATTGGGCTAGACGTATATTTTATAGACCAGTCAGTACTTGGTGGGTGATGTGGTCAGCATCACACCGGCCACCTTTACTTCCACAGACTTTATGGGTACCCACTTAAGGCTGGGTCAACCTGGGACCCAAGGTCATTTAAAAAAAAAAGTCAGGTTCTGTTAGGACCCAAACCCACGACCTTTTGATCAGCAGGTGAGCATCTAGCTGCTACACCACAGCAGCTGAGGAACTAGCAGTCTGCATAAAACAAATAAGGCAGATCTGTAAAACAAATGTGTACACAGAATTCAAGTTCTTAAACAAAACTAAACTCCAGAAGTGGACAAACAACCAGAGCTTTCTGCAGGATTTTGCAGCCGGTGAACTCTAAGAAGAAGAAGAGGACATGAGGTTGAAATATTGGATCAACATCATGGCACATGGGTATTGACCCATAAGTGCACTGGCTCTGTAGCACAGGCGAGGATCCTGAAATACTTTTGGGTAGATTTTAAACTCCAAATTTTGCCTAGGCAGCGCCGTAAGCTTTTCGATTTCCAACTGCCAAGGTTTTTTTTTAAAGTGTACAGCAATGCATAGGGGCTTTTGAGCTGACTACCCAGGTAAAATAACTAGAAGTCCAAATTCACATGAAAAAAACCCAGCCCTTCCCAGGGATTGAACCCGGAACCTCTAGCACTTGAGGCGGACACAAGCAGACATGTTATGATAGAGGGAGTAAAGTAAGTCAAGGACAATTTTTTTTTCTTGAGGCGCATAAGACCTGTGATGATAGACTCGTATTTGAATAGACTAGTTGGCACGTGGCAGGTGATGTGTGTCAGGGGCACGTGGCACGTGATGTGTGTCAGGGGCACGTGGTGGGTGATGTGTGTCTGGGGCATGTGGTGAGTGATGTGTGTCAGGAGCATGTGGTGGGTGATGTGTGCCAGGAGCATGTGGTTGGTGATGTGTGTCAGGGGCACGTGGTGGGTGATGTGTGCCAGGAGCATGTGGTGGGTGATGTATGTCTGGAGCATGTGGTGGGTGATGTGTGTCAGGAGCACGTGGTGGGTGATGTGTGTCAGGGGCACGTGGTGAGGAGCAGGGGCACGTGGTGGGTGATGTGTGTCAGGGGCACGTGGCGGGTGATGTGTGTCAGGGGCAGGTGGCAGGTGATGTTTGTCAGGGGCACATGGCAGGTGATGTATGTCAAGGGCACGTGGTGAGTGATGTGTGTCAGGGGCACGTGGTGGGTGATGTGTGTCAGGGGCACGTGGTGGGTGATGTGTGTCAGGGGCACATTGCAGGTGATGTATGTCAAGGGCACGTGGTGGGTGATGTGTGTCAGGAGCATGTGGTGGGTGATGTGCCCAGGCCAGAGAGGAAGTCAACTTGGTGAAAGCACCCACATTTGACGGAGAGAACTGGGGGAAACCAAGAGATAAATACCTGGATACCTGGTCTAACTCAAAGGTGAATGAGAGGATCCTTATTTTCATGGAAATAAAAAAATTTGCAATCCTGAAGAGATATTGAATCACAGCCTTAGGACACCATGGTCCCTATCTCAGCAAGTGAAGAGAACTGGAGGAAGACCAAGAGATAAATACCTTGATGCCTAGTCTAATTCAGTGGGTCTGGAGAGACTGTGAATGAAAAGAGAGTTACTGAAAGAAATCACAAAAGAGAGATATTTTGGTCATATTAAAAGACAACACTTTTAAAAAAAATGTAACTAGTGTGTCAGTAAACAAACTGATAATCATGAGTTATGACTTAATGACCAACATCATAGAACTTGGGATATTCCCATAAGCGCTCTGTCCCCATCTTCAGCAGTAAGCTTAGAGTTATATTTCTGACAGTAACAGAAACAGTCTGATTGTATGTCAGTCTCTCCCCTCCCCTGAGTATTGAGCGTCGGTCAGATCCCCTGGTCACTCCTGGCTGCAGCTTTCTCTTCAGAACTGCTGATAAATAATGTTGGAGATCACAAGATGCGGAGAAATGTGATCACCCATGCCAGTTGGTCATTTGTGGAGATAACACTGAAGTAGAGGTAGTGAGGACAAGAATTGGATACATTTCACTATTTACTTGGAGGAGTTAGTACCCCTGAGTTTTGCCATAGAGATGACAAAAATTACCTTGGCTCCCAGGTCAACTCTTTTGAGTCCCAGGGGGTTTAGCATCAGAGGCCCAAGGGGTGGTACAGATGGAAGTAAAATCGGTGCATCTTGCGTTCATTGGGCCTCTGGGTAAAACCTATAAATGTATGACGCGTTCCTTGCTACTCGAATAGTAAAACGGGTACCAGGTAAAGTCTTGGGAAGTAAAGGCGGTCACATCACTCGCGGAGTGCTGATTGGTCTATAAAATATATGTCTAACCCTATCTGCCCCATGCGCCTGAAGACGTGGAAAAAGGTCCTTTACTATGCAGAGAAAACAATCTGGCATGAAAAGAAATGCATACTGTTTTATTTTTTTTTTAACCATGCTTACTTTGCAATATTATGTATTTTATTTCTCTTGCTGTTTTTACGATTATCCATCAGTTTTAGAATCATGTACCATCCACCCTGATTGCTTATTTTACTAGCACTTCACTTGCTCAAAAAAGTAGTAGTAGCTGCAACATTTAAAAGCTGGCTAACATCACCATTAATCCTGGAAATTTTTGTTTAAAAAAACAAAAGGCAGGAACCCATAGGAATCCCTGAAAGAATCTATAAAACAACCATTTGACACTGATGACTATTACATGATTAAGGACAAAATAAAACTGTCTACACTTAAACATTTTTTGAAATATAATAAGGGGATAATAAAAACAACAGACATGATGGGATGAAGCATTTTTTTGGGGTTTAAAGTATCTAGAAACCATGTGTTGTGAACCCTTTGGCTCGGTACTGTGGATATCGCAATCCTTCGGCTTTGATTCCATGATAAATACCATAAATCTGGGAGAAATCTGGCTTTTCTGCCTACCCCTGGGCGTGAACCCAGACTAGATGGGAATTCGTCACCTGGTCACCGCACAGAGGGTTTTAACCAATTGCGCTAGCAAGCCTGGCGGGTGAAGCAATAATTGAAATACATTCCCCGGGGCATGAAGAAAGTGACTCATACTGTAACCTCATTAAAATTCTAACATTAAGGTTACGGGCAAATTATCACAAGCAATCTCTCCTAAAGGCTATTTTTAGCAAAATGTTCATATCGGGGCCTCCTAAACACTTCTGGTGCAAACAGAACCCATCCCCGTTAACTAGGCTTGACAAAGACAAGCCATAGCAGGGGCTGTGACATTGATTCTGATGGATGAAGCACTGCAATAATCTCCATTCAATTTCTCTGCTTGATTTCTATTACTGACATACAAATAAGAAGTCAAAAAATGGCCAGTAATCTGATAACTCATAAACTCCAGCCTTGGATAATAATTGCATTTTATGTCTGGACACAAGCATAATAATCAAGTGTGCCAGATTTGATAACATCCAGTAAGGGATAATTAATGCAAAGCTTGCCTTTGTGAGGATCCTCAGTTTCATGAAAATATTAACATTTGCAATCCTGAAAGAGAATGTTGAATTAGGTATCAACATCACAGCACTAGGAACACTCCCATAAACCCTCCATCCCTATCTTCAGCAGCAAGCAAAGAGTTCCAATTCCAATGGCACCATTAGCAGTCCTGAAAGAGAAAAACTACCTTCCTCATTACACAATTATCCAGGAAGTTTTGGCGGCTCGCCTGGACTTTTCCGGGGCCCACTGGTTGAAGAACACCGGTTGAAACTGATTAGTTCCCATTATTGAACAGTTTAAACATGGCTTATTCTGATTGAAGACTTTGAACCTGGTTAGTTCCCATTATTGAACAGCTTAAACGTGGTGAATTCCCACTGAACACTTTAAACCTAGTTAGTTCCTATTGTTGAACAGCTTAAACATGGCTAATTCCCATTGAACACTTACCTAGTTAGTTCACATTATGGAACAGTGTAAACACGGCTAATTCCCATTGAACACTTAAAACCTGATTAGTTCTCATTGTTGAACAGCTTAAACATGGCTAATTCCCATTGAACATTTTAAACCTGGTTAGTTCCCATTGTTGAACAGCTTAAACATGGCTAATTCCCATTGAACACTTTAAACCTGGCTAGTTCACATCATTGAGCAGTTTAATCCTGCTTAGTTCCCATCGACTATCACAGTTTAAAGCTGTTGGTCTCGTCCAACACCTACTCTTGTATACACAATGATAAATGCACCTAAATCTGCTGTAGTGGTGAGTTTTGTTATTCTCACTAAAACTTGCATGTAGTGTACTTAGCTTTGAGTCCCTTTAATTAGTTCTGACTTCTTTCACCTTTGGATGTGTATTGATCATTTATGTATTGATGTATGTATGAAATGAGCTATTTAAATATCACCTAGCTAAATATATTATTGTGTACAAATATATTATTGTGAACTCTTGACTGTTGGTGTCAGTTTCTAGTAGTATGTTCACAGATGATGTTGAGTTCATAGTGTTGTATTTAGCTGCTGCTGTTGGTATCTTTCCGTCTTTCTATACGATAATGCTTTATTGTGCTATGAGAAGGCTTGGGACTCACAGCCCATGTCAATGGCAGGTGTGACTAGCAAGACCCGCCTGCGTTAAGAAAAGTCTTCCACAATAATAGCATGGGATTTCACGACTGTTTTTGTCATT